GGCAGGTAAGAGAAAAAGCCCAGTAACTTACTGGAGGTCTCCTTTGGGCATTGGGTGGAGCCAGGATTTAGCCCCTTATCTTCAGGCTCCCAGTCTCTCCCGGCCTGACCACTTGGGAAATAAATGCCAGACAAAAGTAGTTATACCGGATTGAGAGTATGCTGTGATCTCAAGTACATCCTGTAGAACCTGGTTGGGGTCATGTGGTATTTAGCAGTTTCCCCCAGGGTGCCTAGTTTATGGCTCTGCTTTAAGTGGATACCCAGAGGTGTCCCACAGATGCCCCGTGTCTTATCAACCTAGCTTTGGGGAGCTGGCAGGTAAGCCAGAGGCCCCCTGGACCAAGTCACAAACATCTCAGGTGTCATTTCCGTTTGGTCTTGCCAGGTGCCTTGAGACAAATCCTCAGCACAAAGTACGGACAAAGAACCTGACGTTATCAGCCCTCCTACTTGAGCAAATTGCCTATGGCAATAAGACGACAGCAGTAATCACCCTGGGAGCAGGTTTTTGTAGAGGGTGGCAGTGAAGGAAGGCCAGCTTGAGGATCACTCTATAGTCTGTGTTCACTTCTGGAGATTTTGACAGACAAAAGACCCTCCAGAGCAGATGGTCAGAATGAAGAGGGCACTTGGCACCATATCACAAGATGAGCAGCTGAAAAGAGGAGGGTATTAGTCAAGGGGCTGTGGTCAAAACTGGTCAGCATGTCACCTGAGAGGTTTCTCAGACAAAAATTTGGAATCTCAGAAGCCTCTTTGAAAAAATCTGTGCCCTGCTTGTCAGCTGGGTGACCTTGGGCAAGCCGCTTTACCTCTCTGCCTTTATTTCCTCATCTGTAAAATGGGGATAAAATCTGATCTCAGGGGACTATTGTTAGTATTACCTGGGAAAACGCCAGTAAAATACGTAGCATAGCCAGTCCCCAAGAAATGGTAGCTCTTGTGTCAGCCTAGGACAAGTGGAGTAGAACTAGAGGCAGACAGGTGTTAACCCCATTTTAACAAGGACCACAGTGGTTAGGAATTTAGACTTTGAAGACATTTTCAGGCTGGGCTCTGTTCCTCACTAGCTGTGTCACCCTGAGTGAGTGACCTAACCTCTGAATCTCAGCTCACTTGTCTGTCAGGAAAGGATAATAATGGCCATCTCATGGGGACCTTGTGATGATTAAACAGGGTAATGTGTCCAAAGTGTTTAGAACAATGCCTGGCATGTAGTCCTCATTCAAATATTAGTATTTGTAAACTCCTAATCGACGTTGTGTTCAAAGACTAAATATCCTGGATATTTGAGAAAGACTTCCTTTCTGGGAGGGGGCTGGACAAGGTGACTCCACTGCATTTCTGCCCTTCCAGTTCTGAGATTCTGCTAAAGAATTTTACAGTTTACTGGACTTTTTCATTGCTTTAAGGAACCTTAGAGGTGACAGGCCTATCTGAGGGGCTGAGGCAGTAGGGGGCTGGCCTTGGGATTCTCTGTAAAGAATGGATTACTCTGTCCTTTAAGTAGATTTTCTACCACCCCCAAATGGACTTGTGCAAGTCCGAGTAGAGGGAAAGAGCACCGGCTTGTAACATTGGCCACCCAGAAGCCGCCTCCTGGCTTCTGACCTCCGTACTGTGGAGGATGAAAGGGGACCCGTGCTCTGTAGGTAGCAGCGGAAAGCTTCACTGTCTGTTGACTTGAGGTTCTTGGGCAGCATACACTTGTTCCTCTTCACCAGCTGTCCCACTCCCAGAGCTCCTGCTGAGAGTCAGGGTAACAGGATGGCACCTGGCAGCGCTGTTGGCAGCTCTTCACTAGCAAAGCGTCCCTGGAGCCAGGAAGGCCTGGGTTTGCATCCCAGCCGCGGCACAGACTCGCCCCATGACTGTGGGCAGCTCCGTGAACCCCTGGGAGCGTCAGTTTCCTCTGGAGTAAAATAGGGTCTCTAGCTCCCTTCCCAAGCCGAGTGAGAACTGAGATTTTGTGTACAGAGCATTTGACGCACAGGGGCACTCGGTAGATTTAGGTCTTATATCGGTCTTGCAGACCCTTTAAGTCTTTGGGTGGGTATCCAGGTGCAAACCGTTGACAAATCTGGATTGTCTGTTGGTTATTCTAGAGCAGGAGTCGGCACACTTTTTCTTAAAGGGCCAGGTGAATACTTGAAATGCTTTAGGCTTCACGAACCATCTGGTCCCTTTACAACAACTCAACTGTGCCATTCCAGTGTGAAAGTAAGCCAACGGGCTTAGCAATGTTCCAGTAAAACTTTATAAAACCAGCTCAGAGTCTGGCTGTAGTTTGCCAGTTCACATTCTAGAACAGCATCGCAAACTGTAATGTGGGCAGGAATAAACTGGATGTCTTGGAGGTTTTTTTTGTTTGTTTGAGTTTTTATTTTTAAGCAATCGCTCCACCCACCCTGGGGCTCGAACTCAAGACCCCAAGATAAAGAGTTGCACGCTTCTCGAACTGAGCCAGCCAGGGTTTCTTGTCAAAATGAGGATTCTGATTCAGGAGGCCTGGGGTGGGGCCTAAGATTTTGCATTTTGCAAGCTCCCAGGTCACGCTGATACTATTGGTCTGAGGACCACACCTTAAAGACAAGATTTTGGAATACTTGCTACAAATCCTGTTTTCCAGAATTTGTTGTGGTTGTTGTTAAGTAGTCATACAAGCTAAAGGAATCAGAGGTGTTTAACTAGAAGAAAAGAAAAACTAACCATTTGCTTTAAGGCAGGTTTTGTAGATTTGGCCTCAGTAAAATAGTGGAAAGCCAAACTCTTAACTCTTGGTCTTAGTTTCCCCTGGACGGCATGATGATTGAAGCCAAACCCAAACATGTTCTGAGACTTGGAAAGAGCTTGAGAAGCCATTAGTCCAGTTTTTCTAGGTGTGTAGCCTGCCTCCCTGTGTCTCCCCAGTGGGTTAAAAATGGAGAGTCCCAGGGCCCAGCCCAGAGCCTCAGAGTGATAGAGGCAACTGCTTGCAGAGTTGCATGTCCTCAAGTCCTCAAGTGATTCTTCTGTGCACTGAGGTTGAGAAAACTTGAGTTGGCTAATACCTTTTTGGTAAGATAAGGTGACTGGGGCAGGGATTTTTTTTTTTTTTTTTTTTTAAGGCACGGGGATTTTTGCCTGAGGTCTTCCAGCGAGAAACACTGATAGGTCCAGAATTCCAACTGAGGTAGCAAATTTGAAATATTTTGGAATGCTTGGGCGCCTGGGTGGCTCAGTCAGTTAAGCGTCTGCCTGCCCCTGCTCAGCGGGGAGTCTGCTTCTCCTTCTCCCTCTGCCCCTGCGCCCACTCAGCTCATGAACTCTCTCCCTCTTTCTCTCTCTCAAATAAATAAATAAAATCTTAAAAAAAAAAATACTTTGGAATGCTCCATAAACATGTAGTCATTGTTTTTTGAAGTGAAGGAAAAGAGAGCTGTAGAAAAAACTAATAATAACACAGCAGCTAATTTTTCACCCAGTGGAGACTACTAGTAGACGCCAACCTCTTAATGTTTTAGTTACCTTTTGCTCCTGAGGAATGACCCCAAACCTCGGTGGTTGAAAGGGTAAACGTTTATTAATTAGTTTCTGAGAGTCGGGAATCTGGGGGTAGCTCTGCGGGGTGTCCCAGGCACGGGGTCTCTGATAAAGATGCATGAAGATGTCAGCCGGGCTGTAGTCATCTGAAGGAGCATCTGCTTCCACAATGGCTCCCTCACATAGCTGTTGGCTGGACACTCAGTTGCTCGCCGTGAGCACCTCTCCATAGCGTTGCTTGAGGGTCTTTAAGACGTCTCAGCCAGCTTCCTCCAGAGAGAGAGCAAGGAAGAAGCCCCAGTGTCTTTCATGACCTGGCCTCAGAAGTCACATAACATCACTTCCACCATATTCTGCCAGACACAGACCAACCCTGAGACATTGCGGAAGGGGACTTCTCAAGGGCATAAATACTCAGGAGGTGGAGGTCACTGGGGCCAACTTGCAGGCTGGCTCCCACTCTTAAAATGATTGTCCCATTCACTAACCTGGAGAAGGGACTCTCATACCCATTTTTCAGATGTAGAAACCAGGGCAAGAAGAGTTAAATAACTTACTCGTGGTGGTACAGCTTGTAAGTGCCAGAGCTGGGAACTGAGGCGGGGCTTATTTCCAGAGATTTTAAAATAGAAGATGTACTGGTATAGTAGATTTTGTCTGAAAGCAAAGGAAGGACCCAGAGGTCCTCAACCAGCTGTGTCAATCATCTGCTCACTCAACAAAATGTAGTAAGCACCTACTGTGTGCCAGGTGCTGTTCAAGGATCGGGTCGCAGCAGTGAACTGAACAAAGCTTGCCTTCAGGCCCTTGGAGACTATAGGATGTTGAGCCCATATGAAGAGTCGAGGAGTCTGGGTGCCCTTACTGGTCCAGCCTCCGACCCACTGGGAGCCCAGGCAAATCCCTTCCCAGGACTCAGGTGCTGCCTTGGACCGTGAGGCATGTGAGTGAGCACAGTGATCTCCATGTATCAGAATACCAGAGACGCTTATTAGCCACGATTAGACGCCCCAGCCCACACTTGTTGATCAGAATAGTTTTTGCAAGTTCTTGGGTGATTCTAATGCAGATGATGATGTGATGTATAAATAAGACCACCAGATCAGCATTGCTCAGAGGCCATGGGCCCACCTATGTCAGAGTTGTCGGTGGTCTCAAGAACCAAGATTTTGAAGGTAAGACTTTAAACTAGCTTCCCAGGTGATTCTACTCATCGTGTGCTAGACACTGCTGAAGGATTTGTAGGGATTATCTCATTCAGTACAACAGCCTGTGAGATGGAGGAACCCTTTCTTAATTCCACTTTACAGTCTAATAGAGTGGGGCTCAGAAACAGGCTGCTGGTGAGTCTGATGACAGCCAGCCTGGCCCTGTCTCTCTGCGCGCTGTCTTGGCCCCTGGGTGGGCCTGCATGCTGGTGGGGGGTGTGGGTTGTGCTGCAGGACTGGCTTACGGTCCCCTTTGTTTTAGAAGCACGAGTTCTCCGTGGACATGACCTGTGAAGGCTGCTCAAATGCCGTCAGCCGGGTGCTGAACAAACTGGGAGGTGAGTGAGCAGCCCGCGGGTAGGGGTGAGGTGGGGGAGGCCGGTGCCCTTAAATTGCATTCAAATGCATGCAGCCATGGAGCTGGAGAGGCTTGAGTTGAAGCCGATAATAACAGAACGACTAAAATGTATTGAGTACTTACTTAGCATGTGCCCAGTACTCTGCTTGGTGGCTTCGTGTGGACCGAATCATCTGTTCCTCACCAGAGCCATTTAGGTGGCTCCTTAGACTGTCTCCATTATAAGCAGGAGGAACTGAAGTTCAGAGGAGTTGAGTGACTTTGCTGAGATCTCACAGTAAAAGTGGCGGAGCTGGGATTTGGCCATATCGTCCAGCTCATGGCCCTGGCAGCACTAGTTAACATGTTGGTGATCTTCGGTGTGATCATATTGCAGACGATACATTGGAGTGTCATTTTCTATTAACGTTTACAAAATTGTAATATTTTTTAAAAATGGACTGACTCAAGTCACATGCAGAAGTCCTAAAGCCCTTCTTCTGGACATATTTAGAAAACCGTTATTTTCATCCAGCCCCCCTGGTTCTCAGCTGGGGAAACTGAGGCCCAAAGAGGGCTGGGGTCTGGCCCTGGGGCTCCACGAGGTAATGACTGAGCTGTGGTCAGAGTTCTGGTAGTGCTGGGCAGTCCGTCTTCTAAGATTTTCACATTTAAAACCCAAATGATACCCAGATTTCAAAGGGCTTCCACGTGGATGTGATCCCATTAGCACTTGGAGCATTCCTCTGAGCTGGCCTTCCCGTCTGTGGAATGGGGATGTTGACACCAGAGCCCGGGAGGGGAAGGCACTTGCCCAAAGTGAGTCAATGGCTGGTTTCTAGTCCTGGAAACTGGAATCTTAATTTGTGTGTTTTTTTTTTTAAAGATTTTATTTATTTATTTGAGAGAGAGAATGAGAGAGCGAGCACATGAGAGGGGAGAGGGTCAGAGGGAGAAGCAGACTCCCTGCTGAGCAGGGAGCCCGATGTGGGACTCGATCCCGGGACTCCAGGATCATGACCCGAGCCGAAGGCAGTCGCTTAACCAACTGAGCCACCCAGGCGCCCCTGGAATCTTAATTTGAAAGAGTCTGAGGCAGGAGGAAAAACCTGGTTGTTGGCTTGCCGTGTGACTGGGGCCACTCTAGCTGTGTGTGGACGTGTCAGCCTCTGTCAGCTTCTGCTGTGGATCCTGTAAGAGTGAAACTCTGCTTGAAAGCCCCTCCAGTGTGATGTGGCACGTTCCGGATGAAGTGAAGGGTGAGGGTGGGCCTGCTTTCACTCTTGACGGCTTGAGGACACCCGGCCAGGGATCTGGGCTGCAAGGAGCACAGTTTGAAACCCACTGGGTTAGATGATCCCAGAGTTTCTTCCAGCTCTATGATGCTACCAAAATATTTGTTCCAAAGAGGAGGGAGACACTTCTGAACCAAAACACAAAAATCCAGTGTGCAGCAAGGACACGTTACATTTTTTTCTCCCTCAGTATCCTTAGGTATAAATTGCAGACATTATGACTAAATCCTGTGCCCTGGACTTTTTAAGACTGTTTGATGTTTGGGGATCTCCCTTTGAACTTGGGTGGGTTTCTCCCCATCTTTGACTACAGTCCCCACTTGGGTGGCCTCTTGAAGTCAGAAGGATTAGTTGGAGCCTTAGATGAGCAGTGCTGGGCCTGAGGAATCACAGCTAATGGCATATGTGAACCAGAGAGACCATAAGGGCTGGCCACCCTGAATTCCTTCATGTACAGATGGGGAAACAGGCCTAGAAGGGGCAGGACCCACCTGTAGTCATCCAACAAGTCAGTGGTGAAGTCAGGCCTAGAACCTATCAAGGGCTTTCCCTCTGCATTCCATTTTCTCAACAAGGTACATTCTAGGTATTCCCATGGACTGCTCTTAGGGGAAGGGAGGGTGGCTTGAAATTGACAAAGCCCTTTAGGAGGGTGGTTTTACAATATCAACATTTAAAATGTGCCAGTCTGTTGCTCCCCCGTTTCCATTCTATAAATTCATGGTATAGAAATATTTTCACAAGTTTTATATGTTCAAATATGTTCACTGTAGCATTGCAGCAGGGGACTGAGTAGATGTACGGGGCGTCCACACTGTGGAATGCAGTGTAGCTGTTAAAAAGAGGATGATGTAAGTCTGTATATACTGAGATGGCAAGATCCCCTGGACATTGGAAAGTGAAATATAGCAAGATCTGTTTATAGAGTACAATGCCATTTGGGGGAATTACTTTTCACTTGTCTGTCTGGGAGAAAGACTGGGTAGATGCCATGCTGTTTGTAGTGACTTCTGGAGGCCTTCTACTTTCTAGTTTTATTCAGAAATGTTTGCTTTTTTTTTTTTTTTTTCCCAATGGTGTGTCTATATTAATTACTTTTGAAATTAAAAAGAAGAAAAAACTCGGGTGCCTGGGTGACTCAGTTGGTTAAGCGACTGCCTTCGGCTCAGGTCATGATTCTGGAGTCCCGGGATCGAGTCCCACCATCGGGCTCCCTGCTCGGCGGGGAGTCTGCTTCTCCCTCTGGCCCTTCCCCCCCTCATGCTTTCTCTCTCATTCTCTCTCTCTCAAATAAATAAATAAAATCTTAAAAAAAAAAAAAAAGAAGAAGAAAAAACTTAAAAGAAGCCCCAGCCTCGAGCAGGGATTGGCAAACTATTGTCTGTGGGCCAAATCTAGCCCACAGGCTGTTTTTGTACAGCTGAGAATGGTTTTGGGGTGTAAAAGCAATACACAGAGAGAGAAGACAATGCACCTGAGTCCATGTGGCCCCTGATGCCTAAAACATGACTCTGGCCCTTTATGGGAAGAGTTTGCTGATCCCTGGCATGGAGGAAAGGGGAAGGTGGTTGTGAATAAGAATTCTAGAGCCTGAACTCTCTGGCTCTGACAGGGAGGGTCTCTGCTTCCTCCCCACACACCTCACTTCCTTTTCCTGCAGGAGTTGAGTTTGACATTGACCTGCCCAACAAGAAGGTTTGCATCAACTCTGAGCACAGCGTGGACATTCTGCTGGAGACCCTGGAGAAAACAGGAAAGGCTGTTTCCTACCTTGGCCCCAAGTAGCGAGGGCCTGGACCCCTGGGCCCAAGATGGACCAAAGGGAGCAGGTGGGTAAAGCCCCAGCCCTTGTACAAAATATTTCATTATCTAATGCAAATCCCACATTCCGGGAATCCTTACAGCCCCCTGAGAGTACACAGAGCACTGTTATGTCTCCCACGGTCCCTTTTATGATTTGGGGAGTGCATCTCGTGATCAGCAGGGGTTAAGTATAGAGCGTAGAGCCTGAGCAATGCTTTGATAAACTGTCCCATCCAAGAGGACCCTATGCCCTGGGCATCATGCTTCTGTGCCCTGACCAGGTAAGTTAATTCAACTTGGCTTCTCTCCCCACTCGGAAGTGCCGTCCGCTTCCTGAGCATGCCCTGTGCCCCGATTGGTACAAAAGCAATCCTCATGTCCAAGCTGGATGTCCCCTTTAAATGTCCACAATCCAGAGAGGCACGTAAGTGTGGCACTGTGCTGAACCATTCGCTGTGGAACCAGGACAGACCTCGCTGACTGATCCAGCGCTCCTTCCCTCTGTACCCTGCTCCAGAATCCTTCATGGCACAGAATCCTTCCCTCCCTGGCTGTCACTGCCCTTGTCATGCTTGAATTATAGTGACTGCCACATCCCTGCTGTGGATCAGGGCTCAGTGCCACTGAGAAACATGAGGCCTGGAGAGGGGAGGGGACTTAACCCAAGCCCCACACAGGCGGGTGGCAGAGGCAGGATGAAAGGCGTCCTGAATGAGAGTTCTGTCGTGGCCGATGGCCTTGTCCCTGCATGTGGGCCCACGAGAGCTCCCCCGGCAGAGGCCAGCTACGGCTGACGGGTGGGCTGTGGCTGTGTCCTGTGTAGGGGGTGACATCACATGCAAATCATGTCAGATGCATCTGTTTTCCTCATTCCCTTTCTGTCCACGGACACAGCCCACGGTCAGGAATGAGCCCAGGATGAATAATGATGTCCTCATTTCACACCGTGACTTTGAATACTTCTTACATTCTGGAGACTCAGGCCTTTCATCTCTAAAATGGGGCCATAACCTCTATCCTGTTTTCCTGCCATTGGTGGGGGGAGGTTACTAGGAAATCCCTCTGAAAATGAAGGATGATCCTCAAAGAGAAGATATGTTTCCACCATGCTATGGATCAGTGTTGGTCACATGGTTACTGAACCCTGAGGAGTTTTGGAGGAGAATGATGGGTGGCACTCTGGGCCCCTCCATCTATCCCTGGTTGCCCTGTTTCGTACGGGGCCTCCGTGTCAGTTTACAAGATTGTGGTTGGTAAAAGTGCTCTGACGAGACAGGATGGAAGGAGGGAAGAGCCAGAACTTCCTGAGGAGGCGAACCACATGGGGGAGCCCCAACACAGACCCCTCACTTTGGAGATTCCTGGCCCAAGCGTTTGAATCTTGTTAAACTCCTGCCAGTTGTAAACCATGGGTAACTTGATGTGTGTTCTTCTCATAGTAGTTTTTAAATTTATTGAGGTGAAATTCACATAACACAATTAAAGTGTACCATTTAGTGGATTCACTGCAATCACAGTGTTGTGCAACTCTGGTTTCAAAGCTTTTATCACCCCAGAAAAACGCCCCAAACCCATTAAGTGGTCACTCTCCACTGCCCCCTCTCCCAGCCCCTGGGAGCCGCTAATCTGCATTTGGCCTTTCGATTTGCCTCTTCTGGATGGTTCATTTAAAAGGAACCATACAATTCCACTTAGCGTAATGTTTTCAGGATTCATCCAGCTGTACCACGGATCAGCACTTTATTCCTTTCTATGGCTGAGTAATTCTCATAGTTTTTAATTCATTATCTTTGCTTTTTTTTATTATGGAAGTTTTAAACATGTAAGTAGTAAAATGAATCCCTGTGTACCCATTACCCAGATCCACTGATAAGTCATTGCCATCATTGTTCTATTTCATCTATAACCATTATTTTGAAGCAAATTCTAGATACCAGCTAATTTTATCTGGGCAAGCATGTCAGCAAGCAACGTGTAGTATGAAAAGGCTCCTGCAGACTCAGATGCACAGCACTTGGTGATTCTCACCCGTCAAGCGAGCTTCCCCCCCCACATCCCTGCAGCATCTGTCTCTGTCTGTTTTAAGATGCTCCCCAGTGACGCATTTGAAGCCAGGTTTGGGACTCAGAGAGAGAGGGTTTCTGGGTCATAAAGTCACCTCAACTGTCTGTTCATCAGCAGATTTGTTTGCTGGTGATTTTGTTCATTGTCTTCCCAGTGTGAATTGAAATAGGACAGGGAGAACCTACCATCCCAGCAGCCCCGGAGGTTCCCCAGGAGAAGGCGTTGGCGGAGATTGGCTTTGGCAGAGATTGGCTTTGGCGAGATTAATGGTTGGCCAACCCGACTATTACAGACTTGGTGGGAGGGGCATGCAGGGCTGAATCCTGTGGTGCTCTTTCTGCTCCAGCACCTGGGTTTCCCACTTACCTCCCACAAGTGCTCCTTAGTGAACCTCTGCTGCTTTTGCAGTGCCTTCATGCGCACAGCAGATGGTGCTTTCCTTCCACCTAACTTCTCGTCTCTTCCAGGACACTGATCTCCTGCCTTCCCGACAGACCAGGGGCCTGGCAGTCCTGCTCAGCGATGGTAGTGACCCTCACTTGCCCTGCTCCTCCCTAGCTTCCCTGCAATAAAGTTGAGCCGCTTTTGTTGGAGGTGTTGTCTCTTGCAGTGTCTGGATATTACTTGCTCACATGCTCTGAAGGAGTTATTATTACAGTGCTTACTGGGGTTGGAGTTCTAAGGGCTCCCCACTGGGAGCACCAGGCCTGACAGATTGTGATTCTTTGCTCTGTGATCTTTGGCAAGTCATTTCCCCTCTCTGCACCTCACTTTTCCCATCTACAGAGTGAAGATGTTGGGCCAGATGGGTGATCCCCTTTGTTTTCAATATTTTGAAAGACTTCTGTCATCAAGTGCATTGCATTGAAGGGATGTTAAATCTTACAGCAGTTAGAAAAGTGGGTAGAGGCTTGTAGACAGACTGCCTGGGATAGAGTCCATGCTCCAGTACCTCCCAGCTGGGCCACTTAATTTCTTGGTGTGTACAGGCATAAAATGTAGTAATAGCATCTACTACAAATGGCGGCCGTGTGGATTAGAGGTGACACGTGTAAATCACTTCAAGTGGTGCTTACCAGTTAGACAGTAGACATTCTTTATTCACTCATTTGTGTGTATTCCATTAATCATAAGTCTATAGAAATGGCAGTTAGGATTCCAGTCAGCCTAAAAATTAGTGTCTCACAGAGTTCATTCAGTTATGTCAAAACAAAGGGAATGTTTTACTGTGTGTAGCTTTATTTTATTAACTATATATTTTTTTAAACCAGAAGTTCTCAAACTTTTATTGTCTTGGGACCCTCTTACACTCTTAAAGATTATTATTGTGTATCTCAAAGAGCTTTTGCTTATGTAGGTTATGCCTTATTAGAAATTAAATTTTTGAAATGCAAAAATACACGAGCCTATATCCCATTAACCATTGGGACTAGATGAAGCCATTGCACATCTTTAGATTCTGGAAAATTTCACTGTATGATTGTAAGTGAAAGGAAAAGGCATCTCATGAAAATCATTTTTAGCCCCTTTACCTTCTGAAAGGGTTTTGGGTACCCCACGTTGAGAATCGCTTTAGCCATTTATGGGGCACTGATGGGGGACCAGCACTGCTGGGCTCGGATGCGACCCAGCTCTGCAGCTGTGACCCAGCTGTGACCTTAGATCCGTCCCCTCATGTCCCCAGAAGCAGTTTCCTCCTCTGCATGTGGATAATGCCTGCACCTCAGGGAGCTTGGTGGCCAGAAATAAGACTTTGTTTCAACTCTAAGCTGTGTGCTAGCATAATTTTGGTCCCCTTATGAGATTATGAACTCTTAACCATTTCTGCTTTTGTGCTCCTCAGCAAAGGGACGCTCCCAACCCTCATGGTAGCTGGCTTTCTTAGCCACCAGATGGCAGTGTCCTTTGGGTTGGACCATCAGGAGAAGTTTAAGACCGGTCCTGTGAGTTCTGAGTGGATGAACCTGAGGGTTTTTCCATTTTTGGAGCCTCCCAGGAGACCTGGTTCAGGCTGGCTGGCCCATTGAGAATGCCCCAGGATTGAGGCACTGGCACTGCTTGGGATGAGTGGGCCTGAGAGGAGTTCTTCCCCAGCCCCCCGCCCCCCATCCGCGTTTCCAGCTTAGGACCTTGGTTCTGTTCTTTGAGGCTCCAGAGGGGCCAGGAAGCTGTCCCGCCTGTCAGCAGCGCAGTTCGCCGCCCACAGAGTGAGATCAGCCGGCAGAGTGCGGGCTTCTGTGGGGGTAGGAGTGGGGAGCCGATGTGTCCACGTACTACTCAGGGCCTCCTCCAACGCCTGACACAGCCCTCGCTGCAGCCAAACCGCTCCCGCATCCCCTAGGTATCGGGCTTTGGGTCATGCTGCTCCCCTGTAACCGGAATGTTCTCCGCCTACCTCCCCACCACCACCCTGTCTCCATGTAGAAATTCCTTTCCCTCCCTTACATACCACAGCTTCCATGAAACCTCTCCACAACTGGAAGTAATTTATTTCTTCTCCTGGCCCTCACAGCATTGATCCCACAGCTTTAGGGTTGGGACAAAGCTCTTTGTCCCCGTGTCTTTCCTGTCCTCCAGCATCAGGCCAAGCATAGAACAGGCACCGAGGGAATATTTGATGGCTGTGTAATAGGTACCGTTTGGAGGGTGTTCATTGTGTGTCGTGCCCTTACGTTAATGTCATTCCATCCTATCTGGTTCCCATGAGACAGTGGGCGAGGACAGACCCTGGTGCATGGTAGGTGCGCAGTAGACATTTGTTGGGTTAATCTTTCAGAGGAGGAGATTGCCTGGTCTAATCCTTTCAGCAGGCTTATATTTTTGTCAAAGGTCCCTGGTGGTGAGTACAGCAGCCTAGAGTGACCTCTGGGGTGGTCCCAGTAACTGTCATTGACATTGTTTCTGGGACTGATGGGGTAAAGCTCCCAGCCACTTTGCCTCTGTCAACCATCCATCCTGTGGCCAAAGCCTTGGTTTGTCCAGTGCTGACAGAGCCCACAGCTACAGAGAAGACTTCTGCCCCTCAAGGGGCTGGAGGTAGAGCCTGGGGGCTGGACGTGAGTGAGGCTGTGTCCCCATGGTGGTGTGGGCCCCAGAGGGAGCCCCTTAACGTGCTGAGTGAGCTTAACCTAGTCACCTTCTGTCCTGATCTCCTGTTAAATACAAGATTTTTATTTTTGACTTTTTTTTTTTTAACAGCTTTATTGAGGTATGATTCCTTCCATTCAATAAATTGCACTCATTTTAAGGTATGATTTTTTTTTAAGATTTTATTTATTTATTTGACAAAGATAGACACAGCGAGAGAGGGAACACAAGCAGGGGGAGTGAGAGAGGGAGGAGCAGGGAGCCTGATGCGGGGCTCGATCCCAGGACCCTGGGATCATGACCTGAGCCGAAGGCAGACGCTTAACGACTGAGCCACACAGGCGCCCCAAGGTATGATTTTTTGAGACACAAACAAACACATACTCATGAAATGATCACCCCAATCAAGATAGTGACTAGATCACCTCAGAAAATTTCTTCAGGTCCCTTGGTAATCCTTTCTACCCCTCCCTCCACCCCAAGCAACTACCATCCTGCTGTCACAATTAGTTTTAGTTTAAATGTTCTAGACTTCTGTATAAGTGCAGTCATACAGTATATACTCATTTTTTGCCTGTTTCTTCCCATTCAACATGATTATTTTGAAGTTCATCTGTTATTAATGGGTACAACAATTCGTGTCTCTTTATCATCGAGTAGTAAGGATTCCACTGTATGGCTGTACCTCAAGCCATGAGTGGTTATTCATTCACCTGTTGATGGACATTTGAGTTGTTTCCAGTGTTTTATACTGCTCTCCGGTACTGGCATGGTTCCCCAAGGGCTCTGCAGTGCACAAGGGAGAGTCTCAGTGGGCTGGACTCTTCCAACCCGACACACCCAGACCCAAACCAGGGCAGCTCAGGTGATGGTTCTATCAACTTGGCTTTCTCCTTCAGCCCAGGCCTATATCCTCTGGACTTCAGCAGCTCTGGATTCAAATTCCTCCTTCACCACCTAATAACCGTGGTAACTTGGGAAAGCTACTGATTCTTTTGTGCAACTCAGTTTCCTCACCTGTAAAATGGGGGTCATGATAGTACCTATCCCATGTGGCTATTGTGAGCCTTAAGATCATCACATGCCAAATGCTTGCTTACGGCATTCCACAAATGAAGCTTTTTGTTTGAACAAGAAGTTCGACCATTATACAATTTGAAGTTTGAAAACTGAAATTTGAAAAACATCCGATCTCCCTCTTTTGGCCGTGGCAGACTAAAAAAAGTAAAAACGGAATCTCAGCATTGCACCATGTGGGTGTGAGCAGTTCGGGTCGCGGTCCTCTCTTGTGTTCTCCTTTAATTAGTGCCAGTCGCCTAAAAACCTCAAGTCTGCAATTTCTAGGGAGTGTCTGTCGGAGCTGATTTTAGATTTCCATGTCCTTAGGGCCTGTGGCTACTTAGTTTAAGTGGACAAGATGAGTTTCCTAATCTACCTGAGATGGGGGAGGTCTGCAAATCTCATGAAGGCCTTGAAATAAAATATCAAAGTCTCTGGAAATAAGGATCTATCTCCCCTTGGTCTGCTTATCAGAGGTTCCTAGCATCCTGATCCTCTTATGGTAGATCCCCAGACAGCTAGAAGCAGGCTGTATCTTGGATAAGAACACAGGCTCTGCAAACGGGTTCAGTCCCAGTCTGGCTGTTCACCAACTGTGTGAACTTGGGCAAGCTGCTTAACTGCCCAGGATCTCAGTTTTCTCATCTATAAAATAGGAATAATAACAATACCTTTTTCTTAGAGTGAAGTGAGTAATGCACACACACAAAGGGTACTCAGTTTGGCTATCCTTACCATCGCAGGATCCTAGGGAAGGAGTAGACCTAGTTGGTCATCCAACCCAACGTCCACATCCCCTCCCTCTGATGGGTAGCCCCAGGGCTTGACTTGCACACCATCCCTAATAGGGAGCACCACTAGCAGCTTGCTCTGCCCTGGACAGCTCTGTGAGGGAAGGTGTTGAACCCATCCTTATGTCCCTGGCAGTTTTCATGACTGGGGCCCCATGTGGGGCATCAGTCTAGCCCTTCCCTGTGGTGGCTCCTCAGAGGCAGAACATGCTTTTCCTTCCCTATGCCTATCACCCCTCCCTGGCCTACCTCACGAGGAGTATCCCAAATTCCCTCCTCAGCCTTTCCTCAGGGACAGAGCTGGAGTTAACGGACCATCTGGTCACTAGCCTCTTTGTTGATGCCTTCCTGATAGCGGGAGCCGAGAAAACATGGAAAAGGCCAAGCAGTTCTGGACCCCCACCGATCCTATGCCAGCCCACATGGTCCCTGGCTCAGCATGGAAAGAGCTAGACAAGTCCCTCAAACAGAGGGAACCTGGGCAAGTTAACTCCATCTCTCTTCATCTGGGCAGGTGGCACCTAATCCACAGGTAATACAGAGTGCTCAGCCTGTGGTAGATGGTCAATCAATGCATCTCAAAATTCACATTTTTGAGGACGTGTCCCTGATTCCTACCACTCTCCACTCTGTAAAAGGACCGGGCCTGCCCAGT